CGCCATTAACTCTGACACAGCACCTGCTATCAGAATACAGTGATTGGATGGCCATTAGCAGCTGGCCATCCATCCCGTAAGCAGGAAGGCATGTCCACAGACTGTTGCGTGGGATCCGGTCACAGGCTTTTACTAGCTTCACAAAACACATGTACACTGGATGGGCGCACTCCCACGATTTCTCAACAATCTGGCGCAGGGCAAATATATGGTCAGAGGTGCTTCGACCGGGCCGGAAGCAACCTGCTCTTCTTGAATCTTGGAATCAGTTATTCCGCGGCACCACCTTTCTAGCAACTTTGCGTAAACTTCACCTGGGAGGCTACTGAGGCAATGCCAAATAATTTGAGTACTCCACGTGGTCTCTCTTCTTAAACAGGGGTACTACAACTCCTGTTCTCTACTCCACTGGTGTCTTCCTCTTAATCATTGCAGTTTGACAGATACGTGTAAGCCAGCACAAGCCATGTTTTCCTATTGCAATGAGCATTTCAAGGCGGATTTCATCGATTGCAACATCTTTTCCACTTTTGAAACTTTCCGCAGCTTGTGTGATTTCATCTACAGTAATAGTAATATGCTGTAATATAATATACAATCCCTGCTGCTCTACAGGCGAGTCTTCCTACGGTTGCTCGGGGTTAAGGAGTTCCTCAAAGAAGTCTCTCAATCGCTGAAGAATGTCATCCTCCTTGGTAAGAGGGCGTACGGACTTGTCCTTTAGGACTCTTAGACTGTGGTTTTTTTGGCATTGGAGGCGGCGGATGTTTTGCCAGAATATCTTGTTTACCATGTGGAGATTCGACGCCAACAGCTGAATGAACCTTTCCTAGGAACAAGCATCCATTTGGCCGCTCCTTTCACTGCTGCCATGCGCCCTTCTTTGCACAGTATTCGAATTGAACGCTCATTTCTTCCAGGCAACAGATCGAATCCTACTTTCTTCTCATTGACAACTTAGCACAGAACAGCATTGCCTGGCATCGCAATTAACGAATGCACGACTTGCAGAAAGTCGACTCGATTAGACTTTCTGCCCACTGTTTCAAAGACTTATTCGAATGATGTATAACTAGTAGTGGCGCCATATTCGTCAATAATTTTCAATCAACTTACAGCAAGTGAAGATTGTAATTAACGCGTTTTGCATGTTTAATGAAAATTCCAACTCCTTTGGACCATCTTCTCTACTGATTGTCTATACCGTTTATACTCTGAAACATTATTACAAAGAGTGAGCATGGAGCAGAAACAGAAACTGATTGAAAATGGAAAATTTATCCGAGACACTAGACTTTGTCACATGAGAAGCCCTATATGTGGCATGCCCATGCAATATTGAAGAATTAGAACGACAGAACATCCACATAAACTGATGATCATGAATCAACTGCTTTATTTAAAGATGCTAGACTTAGTGGTATCGACAAACGTTTTTTCCTGACGCAGCGTTCTCTCAAGATGAGCGGAGAAGCGTGAACGGCATCAGATGGCATTAACAGAACGATCAAATATAATCAGTCGGTCAAATATATCTGATTCACTTGCTCTGGTTGAAAAGCATGTGAGTAGCATGCTGATTCAGAACCCGAAAGACGAAACTCGATGAATAAAAAGCGAACCAATGATGATGATTGACTTTCCTCTGGGGGGTAGTACTTATTATAAACGAAAGCTGGTCAGCGAAAAAATAAAATTCTTCAACAATTGTTTCAATACAATCAACTGCAATATTTTAATTAAAATGTGCTGAAAAAGCTACTGCGCATTTTCGTGAAAAGGCAGTGGTGCAGAAGCTAACATATTTAAAGTTTCTCTTTCTGTCATAAGAAGCAGTACAACGTCTTTAGGAAAGATTGAGTTACTATTAAGTAATGATAAGACCTTTGAGAACTCAAAATTTCATGAATACACGAAAATGTCAACTTAGTTATGAGAAAGAGTTCTTTGAACTCATAATTCCTCCAAAGATGGACTACGCTAGAAATCATTCCCAACCACGCGCAGATTCTTTGTTGCTATTTTTCTCAAAAATTTTGCTACTAAAGCTTATAAAATTGCAGGTTTTTCTAGGATTGACTAAAAATTGAAAAATTCATTTGGTGCGTTCTGATGTCATTTATTCCATGAATACGTCATACGATCATGAAGCTATTTCGTGAAACTGACCGTGCGTCGCATAATTAAGTGAGATTTTGATAACTAGCTAATTAAACTCAATTTCAGTATTGTTTCTTAGAGCTTAATTTACTCGCCTTGCTTCGCACCTGAAGAAAGGCAAAACCTGATTGCAGAAAGTAGCCGACTGATAAGATTGCTTGGCATTCAAAAACTATCGGCTGAACATTATTAACTCCTATCAGTAGTTTCCTCAACGCGGCTTTGAGCATTTCCATTTATAAGCAACAACGTGTCGTGTGGCATACTGAGCAGCTAATAAGTGGTCGCAAGGTTATTACCAAGAAATAAAACCTGTCCGAACCAATCGTTAACTGCTTCAACCTTCCCTTAGGGTGCCATTGCCATGTTTAATGGTCGACCAAAACGTGCCCGGTAAAGCGACACAGTTACCGACAAACGCTTTGATTCTACTGGGTAAAATTACTTCGCGGCTCGATCCGCGCGACATCGACTGATGATTCAATCGATAAACTTAAGAATGATTAAACTGTAAAGTAGACCTCGAAAAACCTTTCCCTCGCTATCGTTAAGTTAAAGAGTTGAATATCGATTTCTTTCTATAAATGAGTGCTACGGTTAAGACAACATTTCTTTTAATCTTTAACCACTCGCTCCTCCTAAACCACTCACTGATTTCGATAAAATTTTTAAATTCTAGGCCATTCATTGCTTAAATAGGTGTAGGATTTGGCTTGAAAAAGATTTGCAGCTGACAGCTACCTGTCGAAGAGTTCATTTTTTTCAGATGAAAAGATTCGAACGAATTCACTCATTACATTAAAATCTCTTCGGAGGAACTAAACGGCACGAACATATTCAGCCTTCAATGTCCATGTCTGCAAGCCCATGCAAAATTGCCACTCAATGCAATACTGAAACACTTCACTGCTTAGAAGATGAGAACACTGATGTTTCGTTTATCATGCCTCAAGTTCTCAAAATAGGAGACATCATCCTTGTGCAAAAATAGAAAATAAACTATTCCGGTAGAATAAAAATTCATGCATCCAGAGAAACACAGCAAGTTGTAATGAAAGAAGATAAC